GTTCAAGCCCCACAACTGACAAAAAAAATAAAAAAATAAAAATAAAAAAAATGACCATAAAGTAGTTTTAGAAGTTTCTCCAGCTATAATGTATGGTCTGTCAAAAGAAAATAGAACCATTGCTTGGAGTGTTAGAGGATAGGATAGCTGGAGCTTCTACTGTTGCCTGTTATTTTGCTTTCTTCCCAGAGGTGTATGTGCTTGGTGGTAAGACATACTTTGGGACACTCAAAGCATCAGTTTGGTTAATTATCTTCCTTGCTTTAAGCTATTTTTTGTCTTTTTTATTTATTGATGTATGTTAGTTGTACAAAGGGTATTTTATTGTGACATTTCCATATATGTATACCAACATATCCCATCCAAATGTGTAGTTTTTTGTTTTTTGGGTTTTTTTTTTTGGTAGGTTGTGGGGCTTAAACTCTAGGCTTGGGCGCTGTCCCTAAGCTCTTCAGCTCAAGGCTAGCACTCTGCCACTTGAACCACAATGCTACTTCTGGTTTTCTGGTGGTTTATTGGAGATAAGAGTCTCACAGAGTTTCCTGTCTGGACTGGCTTTGAACCATGATCCTCAGATCTCAGCCTCCTGAGTAGCTAGGATTATAGGTGTAAGCTACTGCCTGGCTCCCAATGTGTTCTTATGGTTTAATCCTGATATTTACTTAATGATCTTTGTTCTTTTTGTTTTGTTTTGTTTTGGTTTCTCTTCCAGTTTAAGAAAAGCCCGCCTAAGATCCCTTATAAGGCCATTGCACTTGCCACAGTGCTGTTTTTGATTGGAGCTTTTCTCATTATCATAGGCTCCCTCCTGCTGTCGGGCTACATCAGCAAAGGGGTAAGCTAAGAGATATGTGGGAATGTGCTGTCAGATCTTTAAAATATAAGCTACAATTCTATTTATATTCCTTTCTGGTACAGCAGATTCCAGAAGGAGGAAGAAAAAACAATTTTTAAATTAAGTAGTACAAAAAGACTACAATTCCATAAAGAAGAAAAATATTTTGTCCTCTGAAAAAATGTTTTTTTTTCTATTGAGCAACATATTTCTCCCATTCCTGTGAGGTGGGTATTAGGCAGGGGAAATTGGCCTGAGATTATTGGGCAGTTTCCTACTGTCGAAGTTTAGAGTAGCAAAGTGGAGCTTGACATCCAGGATGCCTGATTGATAAAGGGCCATAGCTGGAGAAAGCATGCTGTTATTGTAGCACTGCAGCAGCACTGACATACTGCTCAGTGTTTGGGGAGGAATAGCAGTCTTGTATAGGTGTAGGGCTACTAAACCTCATAAATTGGTTCCTTCTGATATTGTTTTGGTAGAGTTTTGTTGAGCTTCAAGATTATATATACCCTAGAAACGTAAAATGGAATGTAATGGTTCTTTCTCTCAGGTTCTTTCCCCCATCCCCCAGTCATGGGGCCTGAACTCTGGGCCTGGGCACTG